GAACTAGATCCACAGATCCCCACACTTAGTCATGTGCACCTATGTGTGAAACCTGTAATTGATTTTATGTTTAATTATGAAGTCCACAGACTACATTATCCATCAGGGGTTTTCTTTACTGTCAAAATGCTTATTTTCCAGCTCTTCTGAATGTTTACTTAGGCTGATACTTTGCAACAATCTGAGATTTATGTTATGCTGGCATTTCCAAATCAACTGTAATTCAGTGGTGCATAGTGTCCAGAAAAGTTAAAGTTAATACAGTCTTAGGAAACATTTCCAACTTGCAAAGAAGCAGCAACCTTCAAGGGAGGCTGAATTACCAGTTGATAGTGAGATAACAGCTGTAAAAAATTCCTCTTTACCTGGAATTAGTTTTCATATTTTAAAAAATCCAGTTATATTTTTTTCAAATACACAAAACATATGACATTAAAAACATTTTCAAATGTTCCTCCACTAAAAATGTCATAATAATGTGGAAAATTCCAGGTACCCAGAAAGAGACCAGGTACCCAGAAAATTTGAGCTACCTAGAAAATTCCAGAAACCCAGAAAAAGAATCTAGAAATTAATTTAGAAATTAGAAATTAATTATGGAAAACATTAAATCTAGAAATGTTATGTTTATTTAAAATCATGTGGAATGTTTTCGTAACTTGATTATTATCCTAAAAGTTAGCTAAAACACATAAGAGTTTTTTTTTCTCTCTTTAGTTCGTAACTCTTCTAATCACTGTATTTATGCCTCTGCACTTACAGAATAACTAAAATATGCAAAGCTGATAAAAATACCAGAGAACAAAGTAGTATCATCCATACCCTCAGCCTTGCTGAGTTTTTGTTATATTAATTTACCTAAGCATAAAAAATCGAGATGGTAACATTCTTATAACTTATTATGCTGCTTAAGAAAGGACTGAATAAGAATCTAGAGACAAAAATAGAAAATTCTACATGAGATCCTCTACCTACAAACGTCAGTGTTTCTTTCCTGAAGTCCTGAGCTGTTCTTACGCACATATTGCTGCTTCTGCATTAGAGGCTGATTACATTTAAAATCATTCTGTAGGAGAAAAACAATTGACATTTTATGATGTTAAATGGATGAATTAGGTGTATATACACAAGTTCTCTAAGTTGTCACTGTTTATATATTCTGCCAAATTTATGAATATAAAAATCCAGCACTGCACAAAAGAAAGGGCGCACCAGGAATGCCATGGTGGGCACAAAAAGATGAGAGCTGTGGAGGCCCACGAGTAGGACTGGCGTGCTCAGGCTTCCCAGCTGAGGGCGCCCAGTGGGTGCCACTGTCCCCTCCCTCCCCAGCAACTTTATTCCTCCCCCACCGCTCCTCACCCACTCTCAGTCAGGGTTATTTATAATCCATTGTTCCACAGAGATACAGATGTGATGTGGAAGGGGAGAAACGCTGGTATTCTAACACCTACAATTCAAGGATACAGTTTTGAAATCAATCAAAAAATAATTAATAAGCATTTTCCCATTATATAACTCTATACTCCATGTGATATAAACTCAAATGTATCTCTACATTATCAAGAAACTTAATATTTAACTCCTTATAACAGAATCAAAATCAAAATCCATATCTGAGCCAGTTCCATGATTTCTTAAGTAACACAAATTACACTTAAAATATAATTTTGAAATTATACTTAACATTTTTTAAATTCATGGCAGAAAGTAATAAATGTTAACTTTATTGTATCCAAAGTTACAATTTAATCTGATAAACAAAAACTTCAGGAATAATGCAGTATCAAAAACCTAAAAATCCTTTAGGGCAGAAAAGCCCAGGGATGCAGGCAAAGTGCTGCTGCTGCTGCCTGTTACGCAGACCTTCATGCTTTCATCTGTGCTTGCATGTTCATTATGTTCAAATAACTATTTCACTATGGAGGGCTAAAATACACTATTTACAATAACTCGTTTCCATTTAAATCAAGCCAATGCTAAAAGAAAAACTCCACTGTATTTTCAAATTTTCACTTAGTACAAAAGAAAACAATTTAGAGAAATTTATAGATTCTTTAGAACCCCAGTAACATATTTTAGGTTAAAAAGCCCCTATTTTAGGCAGGTAGAAAGGTAGTCTTTATAAGTATAGTTTAGTATAGACAACTAGGTTACCTGAAAAAAGGTATTGATCCAAACCTCTTTTACATTTGGGGATATAATTTGCAAAAGACTACTTTCCAAATGGTGTTCTATTTAGTCTCATATTAAACTGGTATTGTAATAAATTGTTATTACTTGAGTAACTTTCATTCTCTGGCCCACGGAGCCACAGAAATTTATAAGTCACAATCAAATACAGAGATCATAGGTGAATTTTAATCTTCCTTTATATAAAAATTTCTCTATGAAGGAAGTGTGGGAAAATACTAACACTAAGCTTCTCCATTAAATGCAAAGGAAATAATCATAGCTAAAACATTAAAATTTTAAAAGTTTGGCATATAATTAGAAAGATAAAGGAAAAAAGAATACTCTCTCATAAAGAGCAAATAAAATAGTATTTCCCTGTAAAGACAGAATACTCTTCCTCTTATAATCATACACGGAGAAAGGTACTATGAGACTACACCAAGTTTCTAAATTCAAGAAAAAAGTCAAATTTTAAACTTTTCATCTTCAATACATGATCATCTGAACAACAAAAATTCTCAACCAAAAAATTTCCTCCACTGGCAAACATCCTATTTCACACACATCTTGCCTTTCATATTAGGAATATACATTTTTTAAAACAAGAAAACCACTAGATCCAACAAGAAAGATTTCAAGAGAAATAAACTAATAAAAGAACAATCATATTTCAATAGCCCTAATTTCGACACAATGGGAAAATAAAACTTTGACTTTCATAGAAACTTTAGAAAAACATCTGGCAACTATAAGTTCATTGGTTGCAACGGCCTCAAATTCTATTAAATGCCAACATCCTTTAAATTAAATTCCTGAAAGAGATATAAACAAACCATAAAATATGAAATTACTAAATAATTGATTTATCTTGAAAAATCTAGCTTGGGGTAAAGTGAAGTAAGGAGAGAAATCCAGTGGTGTATCCTAAGTTTTACTGACAGACCTGAAGTTTTTCCTCCTGCTAAACACATAAAAACCATTCTGGGGTTTTTACCTTCTGTTTTGATCCCATTCTTCTTGCACTGAAGTTATGGAAAAAAGTAAAAACATTTTCAGCCCATCAAGTGCTGTCAGCACTAGCTCTGAATCTACCCCAAGTCCATCTACTTCTTATCTCAATGTTTATCGTCTACGCCAAGCCACCAACTATCTCAGCCCCAGACTATCATGAGAACCAGTTCAAATGCTCTTCATTCTTTCTCACTTACCCTTACACAATCCATTCTCCAGGGAGTAGCCAAAGTGACCTTTTCGAAACATAAACCACACCTTGTCATTCCCCTATTTAATATCCTTGCAATGGTTTTCAACTCATCTTACAGGAGTCAAATTATAGCCTACAATGCCCTACATGATCACGTCTCTGCCTACCTCTCCTGAACCGTATTTTTCCCCTTGTACCGTCCTTCATGTCAGAGTTTGCCCTTGACCATCCTTCATATCAGAGTTTCCCAACCTCGGCACTGACGTATACTTCTTTAATGCTGGGGACTGTCTGCATTACAGGATATTACCAGCACTCCTGGTCTCTATCCACTAGATGCCAGCAGCACCTCCAACCCTGAGTGTCACAACCACATAAGTCCCTGTACATTGCTTTAAACAAGCCAAGTTCATTACTACTTCATGGCCTTTTCACCTCTCATTCCCTCTACCTAAAATGCTTATTCACCCCAGTAATAGAGCTGTATGGCTGGTTCCTTTTCATTACTGTCATCTTAGCTATGTGGCCTACTCGGGGAGGCTTTCTCTAATCATCCTATATAAAGTTGCACTCACTTCCATCATACCTAACATCATTTAACTTATCAAGGTACAAATCTGTACACTTATCAGAGTACAAAGTGCTCAAAAAGCAGTTGTAAGAATTTACATAAATGTCACTATTTATGATAAAAGTGTTAAGTGGCAGGAACATAGTATTTAACACATGATACCACAGCAGCACTCCTGGATAGTCTCCTACACTGTATTTGCCTGCATCCTCAAAATGCACCCATGCTAACGCATCATTAATCCTCTCCTTTGGAAGGGCTGGTAGCATTACTGTCAGTTAAAAGCAATGTATATTTGTTCCTGATGCCTTAACAAAAATAGTCCAAAACAGAGCATCCTTCCAGAGGCTGGGGAATGGAGAGGCATTTGAACTGTTTAGGATAGTGATGAAGGCACTGAACACCCAACCTACAGCTAAAAGCAGCTATGCCAAGGGGAATCTTCATTTCTTGATTTCTTCTATTATGTACACAAAGGACTCACCATTATTATGTCTAAGTAGTTACTCTTTAATTGATCTTGTTTTAAGTGGATACAAAAAAGTCACTAATTTTTATTTTAAAAATAAAAACAGGCAACAAAGAAGCACAACTTTAGTTACTTCAAAAGCATAAACTATATGAATGAAATGTGAGAGCTGAATCTGAGTTTCATCAGCTTTTAGGGTTTTTATGTGAATTGGTAAAATTCATTCAATTTACCATATGCTGAATAGTCAAGCCTTGCAAAATTGTGGCGTCTCTAAAGGAATCAGTAGTCCAACTGCATTCAACTCCAAAAAGGACTGACTGACCTATGTCACAGGATCCTTTGAGTTACCTCTGGAGTTGTTTTTGAAATTATTATTTTGAATATACACTCGAGACCTTGAGTATCTTTTTAAAACTATTGTGTTATTGCTCTGAATTACTAAAATAGATTTCTACATTTTGAATCAAACTCACTGATTTTAAAAATGGTCATTCAAAGCATTTACATAAGAACTTTTAGAATGGCAAGTGAGAGTTTGCAGACTAATGTACGAGTGTGAGCAAAAAGCCATGGCATACCAGTTGTGCACCATGAGCTTCTGCACGGCCAGCAGAGCATTATAGCGGACCTGCTGGTCTTCATGATGCATGTGGTTCATGACCAGCTGCTTCCCACCGAGCTGTTCAATGACCCTGCAAACGGGAGAGACATGGTGAGGAAGATGCAATTACTCTCAAATTCACAGTTTATAAACAGGCATCTCAAATACCAAAATGCTAAAAAGGAAAGTAACAGTGTACGAAAATAAACCAAACGTGTCTTTTTTTTTACATCATTTTCCCTGAACCACAGATTTACAGTATTCAAATATTTTTTTTTTAATTCCTAATGATAAATCCAACAGCTGTCCTCATTTCTCATCTCCAATCCAGAAAAGCATGATCTGCCCAGATACCACCCAGTCACCAGCATTTTAGATCATGGTTTTCTAAGTGGTTGAGTATTAACGTTTTTATTATCAGTATTTCTTGCTTGTTTAAAATCAGTATTGAACACCATCTAATTTTCATAATATACAATCAATATCAAGCCCACCAGTGACTGTGCTGTGTGACAGATAGGGGCTTAGAGGTAGACAGCAGGGAACAGAGGGTTAAAGAGCACCCATGCTAATTTCCTGGAAAAGACTACTGATTTTAAGATATCCACCGGTTTCTCAGAACAATGGGATATGCCATGTGACTTGGGCAGTGAGATGGAGGACAACATTCATATCTTCGAGAGCACCGAGATGACTGACAACCGACACTGCTTTCTATCACCACACTTCCCACACCCTGAAAATCCACTTATTACATACACAAAGGAAAGTAAAAATGGTTATTTTCGTCATGCATAGAAATAGGTCCTCTGTTCCTTTGCAAAAGTGTGGTTACAGACAGAGCTGTGGAGTCTCAACTTCCACAAAACAGTGTGGACTGCCCTGTCCATTCTTCAGCCACCAGTCCTGTCTAGTGGAGGATACCTACTGCATGGTCAGTGACAAGTGGCACCTTAATACAGTATGGTGTTTGGTGGTTTAAGACAATCTCATAGATCAGTAAGATTTCTGGGGTCAGAAAGAAATAAGTAGATGGGGTCGGAGTGAAAGGGAAGCTTTTATCTGCATACCTTTTCATATTTTATTCTTTAAAGCATGGTTTTTTTAAAAAAATGTATTGAACTGAGGGGAACAAAAAGAACATAATATAAGTATCATCAAACATTAACTGAGTGCTTACTGCATGCCAGGCACCGTACTTTAAAACATTATCTAACAAATCAGCTCAGCCATTTATCAAACATGTTAATTAGACAAGTCCTTTACCTGGTAAATTCCTCCTTGACAAATAGGGAGGACAAGGACATCTTTACAGCGTTGCTGTGATGATTAAAGGACATAAAGCCTATGTCCCTGCAGGACACCAAGCCCAGCTCTGCAGCGATGATGATACAAGATGCTCTCCTGCCTCCCATTCTCACTGTAGCCAAAGGGATCTTAGCAAAACTCTGCATATTATTTTTACTACTTAAAATTCAGTGGCTTCTACTTCTCTTAACAAAAGGACCCAGGCCAGGCTCATGCCTATAATCCCAGCACTTTGGGAGACCAAGCTAGGACAAATTGCTTGAGCCCAGGAGTTCGAGACCAGCCTGGGTCACACAATGAGATGCTGTCTCCACAAAAAAATTAAAATAAAAAATTAGCCAGGCTTGGTGGTGCGCACCTGTAGAAACAGCTGTTTAGAAGGCGGAGGTGGGAGGATCACTTGAGCCCAGTTCAAGGTTACAGTGAGCTATGATCGCACCACTGCACTCCAGCTGGAACAACAGGGTAAGACCGTTTCTTAAAAAAATAAATAAAAATAAAACAAAGGACCCAAATCCTTAAAATAGCTGACAAGGTCCTTTCACAGTCGGCTTTGGAGCCCCACTGAGCTTCACAGAGCACGGTCACAGGCTGCTTGTTCTCTAGACTGCCTCTGAGGCCTGAGCTAGCAGCCAACAGCACCCTAGCTCCTGCCTGAAGGAAGCTTCTCTAACGCACGAGTTTTCTCCACAGGCACGTAACAGCCCCTTCTTGCGCTTAGGAACATTATACACCACTCCAGCAGAAGGTCTGGGGCAATTTTAAACAGCAAAATCGCCCCCCCACACACACAAAAAAACCCCACAAAACTGCAAAAAAAAAAATAATAAATATGGCACTAAACAGACCACGTAAAGGATGCTTGTTTCTAGCGTAAAACAGAACACAGGATGGCGGAACGTTGCCTTGTTCCCCCACAGCTGCGGATGTGTCAATGCGCGACTCCAATTATTCGACAATTCTATACATGTCCACGGATAACTGCGAAAGCGCCTCTAGTATTGGCACGGGTGTTGAAAATAAACTTTTTAGGAGGTGGGCAAATTCACAATTCTGGAACCAATGAATAATGAGGATCAAAATACAATCTCAGAAAACTGTCATGTTGTGAGCAAAATACGACTGAATCCCGAAGTGCTGGGATTACAGGTGTGAGCCAGCACGCCCAGCGATCCTTTCTTATGACTCAAGAAGTCTATTCTAGATAACTTGGTAAAAGTTCAAGAACAAAATAATTCTAATACTTGACATGAAAGAATTTCGTAATTTAAAATGCTTGAGTATTATGATTAATCTTTTAGAAAACTTAGTTCAAATTGTTGGTCTGCAAATCCACTGAACATCCATAAAGTTTGGGAAAACAAAAAACAAAAAAACCTCCTATAACCATGAGAGAAAACACTGTTTTGTTTTGTTTTGTTTTTTGAGAAGTTTCAAAAAGCAGAGTCTTAATGAGGAGAAAATAATTCGAAAACATATCTCAAAGCAGAAGGATCCGGAGCTCGCAGAGAAAATAAGTTATGCTGGTGAGAGGCTTCAGAATAAAGAATGACTACATTAGTCCATGATGTAAATATAAGCCACTGGAAGGACGTAGAAAAGAATTCGCATGGCCACAGTTTTGGGCCCAAAAAGGCTATTTCAGGAAAAGAACGGAGGATCGACTGCAGCAGTTACTGGTGATAGGAAGTCTAACGAAGGTACAGCATGGTGGGAGAGATCATCCTTCTTAGGGATAAACAGTAAAGCAGGGAGAAAGAAAGGAACGGAGCAGTAGAGCAGAATTACGTGAAGGCACAGCAGGCTTCTGCCTTGGCAGCAGGTCAGGTGTGCACAACATAGCCAAAAGGAACATTTGAAACACTGGCTGGCTACTGAGGCAGTGCTGTGAGAAGATAAATTCTTCAACAAGCTTTTCACTTTCAGGATTTTAGAACGATCATATTTTTATCTTCATTTGCTTTTTAGCACTTATAAATCTAAGAGGGCTCTATATACCATCGATCCGTCTGTTTTTCATGTTTAACACATTTTAGATGAGTTACAGATTTGACTATTAGCTACATTTATATTTGCCTTATCTAAAGATCTTTAATTTTCCATAGAAAAACAGATTATTTTGGAATGATATTAATTTTGGACAGCTCTTGATATTACAGTGTCAAAAACTATGAGGGTCTTAGTTTTTACCCTACTTGCAGCTAACAAGTTAGCCTGCCACAGTTTCATGGATCCTGGTAGAAGACATGAGACTCCTAGGTCTGAGACAAAGGATAGTTTATTGTTCACAGCAACAGAAATAGCAAGATATTGGCATTTTAGTGCTGGTCCCCCAAGCCTCAATTTCCACAAGCCAACATAAAGGGAGCCAGATGAGCCCTGCACACTGTATAAGAGGAACCCTAAACTTAGAGAAACCCCAATCTCTCATATGGCAGTAAGCACATCTGCCCATTGCTCTTAGGCAGACGAACCTCTGTAAAGCGCATTCAGTGCCTCGTCTTGCAAGAAGTTCAGAAAGGTGAGAGACAGAAGTCCAAAAGGCTTATCAGGAAACAAAGAAAAATGAAAGGCATGACAAATGTCTTCGTACAATATCAACCCCTCATTTCTACACCATCTTACCTTCCAAAAAATTTATCCATGAACACAACACTTGTGGGTGGTTCTGATGAATTTGGCTGGCACAGGCTGGGACCAGGTCCACTTAATTAGTTTTATATGCCATTTCATTAAGGCTACTTACTACCTACAAGACTCCAAGCACCAGGATAAGGCCAACATGCAGCAGTGACCTCACCACCCATGTCCCGCAGGGTCCTGAACTCAACCACCTAAACAAATGCAATGAATCATCAGAGTCTACAAGGACAGCCTCCTTTTACAGAGCTCTCCACACTTGTCTGATGACTACGCAATCTACTGGTAGTGTTTCCTGAAATACTTGAAGGTTCCTTATGACCACCCCTAAAGTGCAAGTTACTGTCCCTTTAAGAGGCAGACGAGTTAATGCCTGACTTCCATAAAGTATAATACCAGGGTACTCATCGTGCCCCTGGAAAGTGGTTTATCATTGCTGGGGCCACCCAAGTGAGACCTTCATGAGTTAGGAAACAGGCTGGGTGACCTCCTGGCTGGATGATAAACCTTCAGAGTCTGAGTTCAGTTCAAATAACTGAGTCCTTATTTTAAGGAGAGACTGGCCTATTTGTCTATGCCACCAGAGGACATTTGTCCGTACCATGGGATGGCTGAGGGATAGCTTTAGAATTGGGGAAATGGGAGAGACATACAGAGTTGCTGACAGGCATTTTGCTTAGGAGGTGCAGGAGCCACCATTATCTCTTCTGTTTCCAATAAATTTTTCAGTAAGGTTAAACGGAGTGGCCATGGTATAGCAGTGAGAGCTATCTGGCAGTTGGTGACAGGCCCAGCACTCAGTTAAACAGAAGTCACTGGCAACAGCTTGGGAGATTTGTGTGTTTTCCTTTGAAGAAAGCTCTAGAGGCAGTACACTGGAAACAAAGATCACTGATGTCCCTCCCTCCCCTGTATCTCCACGTTCTGAGGTATTCTTCAGATGCTGAGGTTGCTGTTATCCTTCCACTGCTACAAAATCTATGTGCCCCATTCCAATAGCTAGCCTCACTATTTTTTAACCATCCCTTAATTGTATCCAGATATTTGGTCTGAAAGGGCCAAGTACAAAAGGGACAACCGCATTTCTGCGAAACTTGCAGAAATTCATTAAGTTTCCGTCTTAGTGTGCGTGAGTCACTACAGAGGGACTTGGCAAGCACTAACCAAGCAGTCCTTTTCCTTATGATTCAGGTTACGTACGGGGGGTGGCAATTCTTTTCCTAAGGGCCAGATAAGTAAATATTTTACGCTTAATTCATCTCTGTAAGTACAAATAGTAGACAAAAAATAGCCAGTGCTCGCACAATGGCTACTGAATTAAATCATACAAACCAAAGAAAATCTTTAACATGAAATATCTAATGTGATCTACACAGTAGTATTATACAAGTGTACTTATATTTTTATACTACTTTTTTTTTTTTTTTTTTGAGACAGACTCGCTGTCACCCAGGCTGGAGTGCAGTGGTGCGATCTTGGCTCACGGCAACCTCCGCCTCCTGGGTTCAAGCAATTCTCCTGCCTCAGCCTCCCAAGTAGCTGGGACTATAGGCGCGTGCCACCACGCCCAGCTAATTTTTTTTTTTTTTTTAGTAGAGAAGAGGTTTCACTGTGTTAGCCAGGATGGTCTCAATCTCCTGACCTCATGATCTGCCCACCTTGGCCTCCCAAAGTGCTGCACCCGGCCTATACTACTCATTTTTAACTGGGTTTATCAAAATTCTCACTACTGTAGCAAACTTGATTTCATTTACTTTGTTAGTTCCTTTGCTAACCTACTCCATTTTTGATAAGCACATTATTTTAGACTCTACATTGAAGGTTTCAAGAAACCAAATGAAATGGCTTTCTCTTACCGTTTGCCTCGTGGATAATGCCGCACATATTCTCCAACATCATGAGCAGCAACAGCTAAGACCTGGGGATCATCTGACACTTCCAAAAGTTTTGTCAAGATTCTGAAACAAATTTTATCCAAAGAGAGATCAAGTTCTAATTTTTCTATAGAGTACAACAGAGCACAGGTATAATGAAGATATCTTCCTGAAAATAGACATTTATTAGTATATTCATATTCTTCTAAATATTTCACTATTACACACAAATTTGCAGTTTTCAAACCTTCAAAGCTTCATACATATATAACAAGTTTCTTTCAAATTCACAATGTAGGCCATGCACAATTTCCAAAATATCAGGGACTCCCCGCCTCAAGAAAACTAGAAGATGAATAAAAGTTATTTTAACACAAAATGGCTAATTATATATATTTTCATAAGCCATTTGTAAACCCTAGGACCTACTGGTATTTTAATGCTCAAGGGCCTAAAAATAGATGGAAAACTTCTCAAATCATTCTAAAAGCAGAGCATAACTGTGATAACCAGTCAGAATGAAGGTTTTTTAAATGGCTTGGTAGAAGACCAACATATAAAAACAACTCTTTCTAATATCCCAGCAACTCAGAAATAGATACATAAAAACCTTAACAAATTAGCCAACTGAACCCACTAGTACACTGAGAGACGATATTCAGTTTTCAGCTCAAATGTCATCTCTTGTATAAGAGGCCAGGATTACCCTAAGGCAGTACTCTCCCCATCATTCTCTTTTCCTTCTCCACTTTTCTTTATAATACTAATTACCACCTGCCATTGTAATATGTATTAAGACAGTCATGTTAAATGACTTCAAGTCATAGGAAGGAAAAATGACAGATCACAGATCAATACATTTAGTCTGATGACATGTATAAGTAATGGTACATAAAGATGTAGGTAAGGTATGTCTAGGCACCGAAAGAGACCATGGCCTGCTGATCCTAGTTCCTCCTCAGGAAGAGTCTGAGATTGAATAGCAGTGAAGAAACCTCTCCACTTTAGTTCCCTCTGCCTTCAAGATGAAACAAGACATATATTCAATTTCTCATATATCTATTTATGTTTTTAACATTTCAAACTATGTATGTTTTTAAAAGGCTAACTTGCAAATTATTCTAAAATTAAATTTAATTCAACTGAAACATTTTGATAATTTCAAAAGATTACTTCTATGTTTTATTTCGATAATTTAAATATCAAGAAATTTTATGAAATTATAAGCAAATTACATTAACAAAAATTATTTAAAATATAACATTTGTTCTCAAGAAAAGAAAAATAGCTCAGAGTCGTCAAAGCTATGTGAAATATATAAAATTTTTCACACCCAGAAACAAGAGCGTGGGTCCAAGGGCAATTATTTAAAGGCAGTTTGTCCCTAACTGTTCCACTCATTACCCTCATGTTCCTGGAATTTGTGATACGAACATCAATGTACAGCTAATCAACAGTTTATGTCATTTTAATGTAAATTCTTGATAAACGACTTAGGAACTGCCTCTTCTTTTTCCCTTAAAAGCCCACTTGTAACTGCTACTAATTGGAGTGTATATTCAAGGCAACTTGAATCTATGCTCTCAGGTAGCCATCTTCAAGCTTTGAGCTCGAACAATCTCTGTATTTAATCTTACTTTCTGAATTTCGTTATTTAAGACTGACATTCTGAATACATCAAACCAGAAGTCAGGAAATAACAGCTCAAGTCCAAACCCAGATGCCATCTGTTTCTGTAAATGTTTTACTGGAACACAGCCACACTCATTAGTTTACTTGTTGCCCATAGCTGGCACTGTAATGGCAGAGGTGAGTAATTTGGGACAGAAACAAAATGGTTCAAAAGTCAAAAATATTTACTACCTGGGTCTTTACCAAATCACGCTGCCAATCCCTGCCTTAAACCATTGTCAGTGAAATAAGCCATTCTCCATATGGCTGAGACCCTCCCTGATACCCAAAATACGGTGTACACACCAGCAGCATGGACATCACCTGGTTACTTAGAAATGCTGATCACAGACCCTAATCTAGGACTATTGAATTAGAATCTGCATTTTAACAAGATCTCCATTAACATTTGAGAAGCACAGCCTTAGAGTCAAATAATGTTAGAACTGGAAGGAATCACAGACTTTCTAGTCAAATCTGCAAAATGTGGACATGATTTTAATTCTTACCCTTCAGGACCATTAAGTCCACTAAATATCTTCAGCAACAATGAAAACATCTTTGTATTATTAGCTACAAACCTGCTGAACATGCTATTTCTATGTCAAATAATCAATAAAAATGTTCAAAAGAACAGGTTCAAAATAAGAGATTTTATGGTACGCAATGAGAGAGTTCCCTCCAAGATGTATCTGAATACAGTTAAGTCAACAATAGATTCATCAATCACAATCCAAACCTCTATTGCCACATTAACCACAAGTCATGATTCTATCAAATAGTCCAATGGATCCAGGCAGCAACACACCACAGCTCTGTAGTTAGACCAAATGTGATTTCTGCCTCGACATTAGCTAGAAATGTAATCTTGAAAAGCATCTGTTATAATCAAATTAGAATTTACATTATTATTCTAATTGATCACTCAACAAATACGTTCATTCTCTTTCACAATGTTTTCCCTCAGTTTTAGAAACTTGTTTTCCCTCTCAGCTTTTCCTTTTCTTCTATCTCCATGGCTTCTTATATTTCAGAGTATTTCCTTATTCAAAATATATATTTATTTCAAAACTACTAACATACAAGCTACAAGGTATTTTCTCTACAGTTCAAAAGTGAGAGGGAAAAATTAACTTACCTACTTGCCAAGTCTGGAATTACCTGACGTAAGTGTGGTTATCCACAGATAAAAGGAAGACCAGTATGCATGGTGCTTTTTAAACAGCAGAATCAAATAAAGATTTCATCCAGATCTATCTTAAATGGGCAGCACTAGTACCTGTCATTGACCTCTTGCAGATAATTTGTAAGAATGTAAAGAATATCAGGTGACATGATCAGGGGGTTGTTAAGCTGCCGCTCTAAAATAATAATTGGTTGCAGCTGGCGCCAGGGAAAGACAGTTTCCCAACAATAGAAAACACCTGAAGCTGGTGATCAGCAGCTTCCCAATAGTATCTCAAGAGTGGGGTGGGCAGGCTTAAGCATGCGCATTAAGGTGCAAAATGGCCGAGTTTAACCGGTATATGACCTTCCTCTAGGAATGCTCAACCAAGGGGAAAATGCCTCCAGTGAGCACGAACACAACTTCAGTAAACATACTGTGCTTGTGGCCCCTCCCAAGTGCTGGCAGGCCACTGAACGTGACAGGCTAGCCCAAGGGAAACATCAAGGGAGGAGAAATGGAAACTCCAGAACCATGCCAATGTATAAAACCCCAAGTCAAGGGCAGAACAGGGCACTTGGATCTCCCAAGTCACCCACCTGGCCCTCTTCCAAGTGTACTTTACTTCCTTTCATTCCTGCTCTAAAACTTTTTTAATAAGCCTTCACTTCTGCTCTAAAACTTGCCCTGGTCTCTCACTCTGCCTTAAACCTATTTCTGCCCCTCAGCAGAATTATTTCCTCCAAGGAGGCAAGGATCGAGTTGCTGCAGACCCATACATATTCACAACTGGTAACACCCCAAGTGACAGAAGAGACTCCCCTTCTTGGCCAAGGGGACCCCAGAGAAACCTCAAAAACTAAGTTTCAGGCTATGATGGGAAGAGGGATCAGACAAAACTCATAATACCCCTTCCCTTTTGGAGTTTAGGTACAACTGGCCACCATTAATGTAAAACAGAAATCAGGTACACTTTCTCAGAGCTCCGTAAGACTGTTTTTCCCAAGACGGTGGTCACTTATATTGGCTCAGAAGAAACCTCTTCTGAGGTTTCACAGAGTTTGGTTTCTCCATTAACAAGAATAAAAACTAAAGACAAACAATAATTTTAAATTTCTCATCATCATATAAACATAAAAGAAAAACACCATATTATCAGCTGGGCGCGGTGGGTTCACGCCTGTAATCTCGGCACTTCGCAAGGCTGAGGCGGGTGGATCATGAGGTCCGGAGATCGAGACCATCCTGGCTAACATGGTGAAAACCCGTCTCTACTAAAAAATAGAAAAAATTAGCCGGGCATGGTGGCGGGCACCTGTAGTCCCAGCTACTCGGGAGGCTGAGGCAGGAGAATGGCGTGAACCTGGGAGGCAGAGCTTGTAGTGAGCCGAGATCGTGCCACTGCACTCCAGCCTGGGCGACAGAGCAAGACACCGAATAAAAAAAAAAAGAAAAAGAAAAAAAGAAAACTACCATATACCATTGTTCCTGGCTATTCAGAAAAATCATAGTGTCATACAAAGATAAAGGGAATAATCTGAAGAAGCCACAAAAATTAAAAACCTAACACCAAAAAATAGAAGGTCCCCTTTTCAAAAGTCTCTTTAAGTGTATCATAATAAAGATACACATAATGCTTTTGTAATAATTTGTAAAACGTTCCCCTCCATTATATTCAAGTTTTCTAAAAACTAGATTTAAAAAAAAAAATCCAAGCTCTTTTTGTTGTTAAAACTCAAAGTCAAAAGGTAACAATGAAAAACTAATCCATTCCTTACCACTTCCTATTCTATCAGTCTTGCTGACATCAATCACTCACTTTGATTTACCACACTTCGTTTAAATAAGAATAATGTATCATTTTCAGTAATACACAGAAAATTGAGTCTGAACAACACAGACAGGTGGATCTAAAAAATGTTCCATCTGGATGCCTCATTTAAATGACAGTAGGAGGATTTCTTAAAAGTATAAATCTATAAGGAACGACGAAATGGGAAATGAAACAAAAACAATAAAATATTGAAGCGGAAAGTCAGAAGAACAAATATTAAATATGAGAAAACCAAATACCAAGCTGGCAGGGAGGTAAGCCAAGGAGCAACCTGATTTACAACACAGAACTAATTATACCAGTATTTTTAGATACCAGGCTCAAACTGTGCTGCCTCATATGACAACCACTAGCCACATGTGGTTTGTTTTAAAGTTAAATTGGTTAAAATTTAGTTTCTCAGTTACCAAGAAC